GCGTCTATACTTTAAAAAAAAATCTCTGTAGTTTTCAAGGAGGAGCAAGTGATCATTAGTGCTAATCTTAAAAATGGCTTATAAGCCACCTAGGCTGAGTATGGAGAGTTTACCTTTGGATTTAACCTCTTGTGGGCCCTTGGTGGCCTTGTGGGCCAGCGTCTTAGGGACAGGGGCAGAAGCTGGACCCGAGGCTGTGAAGGAGAGGATGGGGAGGGACGTAGGAGACCGCCAACCTAGGGAAATGCCTCTAGGAGTTTTGCTTTAAAAGTTTCTCATTCTAGAGGAATGGGCAGAAGTTATAGAGGAAGTGTGGTCAAGAGGGTATGAATTTTCTAGTTTTGTTCTGTTTTTCGTACAGGAGAAATAGCAGCCAGTTTGTGTGCTCACGTGAGTGGTCCAGTAGAGAGGGGGACATGGGTGCTGAGGAGGAGGAGGAAGCACAGCTGAGTGAGGTTGGAGAGCAGTTGGGGCAGTCCAGTGGGTCCTGGAAGAGCACGTGGATGATTCCTCCTCAGGACCAGGAGAGAAGGCAGCCAAAGAGAAAATGAAATAAAGTTCCTGTTGTGACCCATCAAGTGGGTTCCTACCCTCCAGTAGGTTGCAACCTGTCATTTGAAAACCCCTGCTCCACCTGCTTGCCGCTAACCTCACGGCCAGCCAGGAGGATGCACTTCACCCACAGGGGAGGAAAGTGGGAGCAGTAAGTGACTTGCTGATGCCACAGGGCTATGAAGACAAGAGTGGGGGCTGTAACCAAGGTTTGTCTGAATCTGAGTGAGATTTCCTGGGGCACTTGACAAATGTCCAGATTCCCAGAGCTCGCCCTACTGGCCCCTTCTCCCCAGGGTGGGCCTGTGCACTGTAGCCAAGTGCTGCTGACTCAGTCAGCTGGCAGGGGAGCAGGTGTTCAGGGGATCCTCTGCACCACATGCTGTTCCTTGAAAGCAGGTACCATTTTGGACATAGGTGGATCATGATGCTCCTGCAGTCCACTCCTAGTGCAGCTCAGATCTCTACACATGGAAAAGATGCATAGACTCCATTTGGCGGTCTGCTTTTTAAGAGCAGAATTCTGAAGAATGGTGTCAGATGAGTGAACCTCGCCCCCACCCACCTTGAGAGCATATTTAGGCACGATTTCATCTGAGTCCTGTCATCCCAGAAAAGAAGATGGTGGGGGTGGTCTGGGGGTCAGGCAGGATGGAATGGAGCTCCAGGCCTCCTGCACAGGGCATGGGTGAGTGGCTGCCAGGCAGAGAGGGTAGGTCCCTCCTCCCAGCTGCCCAATGGCTTGGGCCAGCGTGGATGGCTGCTCTTAACCATTTTTAAAAATTGGAACCAAAGTGAGTTTTTTTTTTATTCCCTTGTCCACCCTTTGATTCTAACTGCAGACACAGCCAGCATGCTATTCCCAGTAAATATACCTGTGATGGCTTTCTCTTCCATTTTTAGCTCTTGCTGCGTCCTGCAGAGGGAGAGGAAAAGCCCAAATGGAAACTCTGTCAGTCATGCCTTCGGTGGCCTTGACTTCTCGACTTCTCTTTATTTTCTCCTTGCGTGCTCACAGCCGCTCTCCACACCTGCGCCCTGCCCCCCAGCTCTCCCGGGCTATTGATCGCCCCTCCTCTGCCTTCGATTTTATTTCTTCCCGCACTTGTCCTTAGAATCCAGAGACGATTTCCTCAACAAATTAGAACACGGCCTGGGCCTTAAGTGCTCCAGTGTCTCCTTAATGTGATTGATCATCCCAAGTATCGGGAGAGCAGAAGCAGACTGTAGTCTCTGCCGGGTTCCTTCGTTACAGGGCCGTCCTCTGGGAGGAGTCTGCGCTGGTGGCAGGGGCCTGAGGGGGGCCCTGCTGGCCTCTTGGGGGTCCTGTGTGTGTGTGTGGCCTGTAGCAGCCTGTGATTTCCACTCACATGGACCTCCAAAGAGAACTCGCCTCCCTGTAGAGGAGAGGGCGTGCTGGGTGAGGAAGTGTGACTGGGTCTACTCAGGACTCCCTCTTCCTGGTGATTCTCCTAGGTCTCCTTCTACGGAGAGCAGCTGGAGCAGTCCCAGACCATCTCCTCTTTACACACATGCCACAGGGGCTGGTCCCTGTCCCTGCGATCAGCTCTGGGTCGCTGATGCACGTCAGTCCTCTGGGGGCTGCAGAAGCTGCCTTGGTCGAGTGAGGGCTGTGTGGGTAGGTGGGGCGTTTCCTTGGAAGGCCCCATCCTCCTGCCCTGGCCACATGGTCAGGCTGCAGAAGAGGAAGGACCGGCTGGCAAAGCATCAACAGGGACTGAGGCCTGAATCAGCTGTCACCCGTCAGAGGTTGTGCATGGATTTGCAGGTTCCCCGTTCCTCTGACCTATCCCTGTATCAGTTTCTGAGCCATTTCTCTGCCCACTGAGGTCCCAGCTGAGCATACATAGGGGAAACATAAAGGACAAAGATCCGAGGCTACCTTGCCCCTGCTCAGAGACCGGGTGAGGGTGTGATGGAGGAGGAGGGTGGAAGGTTGACAGAAATGATGTTGCCGTTTTCCCTGCTTACCCTGCGGAATGGGAAGACCTGAGATTCAGGAGAACTGGGTTGTTTCTGACTCTTTCAAATTTGCTGGGTGACTTAGGGCACCGTTTCCTCATTTGAGAAACTAGATCACTGCTTGCAAACTTTTTCTGCGAAGGGCCAGATGGTAAATATTTTAGGCTTTGTGGCCATAGAATCTCTGTTGTAGCTACTTGACTCTGCCCTTGTGGAGTGAAAGCCACCGTGGATAATCTGAAAAAAAAAAATGGGGTGTGACCATTTTCCAGTATTTACAAAAAACAAAGGTGGGCAGATTTAGGCCCCAGGGGCAGTCGGGACTGGCCCCTCCCTTGTGGTTTTTCCCCCACCAGTGTCCTGAGGTCTGTTATAGAGGTGCCTGCCCAGCTTAACTTTTCTTCATAACACCGCTGCCTGATGTACTGTTTATTTATTTGTTTATGTATTTGCTGACCGTCTCCTTGACCAGAACATCAGTTCCACGAAAATGGGCACTTGGACTAAATCCGCTGTGCCTAGAATAGCAACTGGGCTCAATAAATATGCTCAAGAGTGTTGAATTAATCAGTAAGGGTTGGTGGAGGAGGGCCTGTCACTGGTCGATGCTGGACTGGCAGGGAGAGGGCACAGGAGAAGACCCTCGTCCCAGGACAACAAGCCGTGGTTCCACATTCAGGGGGTGGACTCTCACCGTGGGTCATTATTTTACCCACATGCTCAGACTGGGGCCGACTCCTGTCCCTCCCAGTCGAGTTGCTCAAGCCTGAAACTTAGAGGTTACCCTTTATTTCCTTCTGTCCTTCCACCCCCACATTCAGCCCGTCAGCAAGTCCTGTTAGTTCTACCTCCAGAACATCTCAAATCCCCCCAGTTCTCCCTTCCACAGCTGTTGCCCCACCCTCAGCTTCACTGCCAGTGGCTCCCAGGGTACCCCACCCCAAATCAGTTCTCCATGGAGGCTGCAGAAGTGGTCTTTTTAAGACAAAATAGAGAGGCCATCCACTGAACCAGCTAAGGGCACCAGCTCTGGGAACAGAGGGCTGGGTTTGAGGTGTGTGAGTTTGGGCAAGTTCCTGACCTCTCTGAGCCTCACTGTCCTCATCTGCAACATGAATCATCCCTTAAAGGGGTGCTGTGAGCATTAAGTGTGTGAATATGTAAAGAGCACTTGGAACAGAAGAGCTCCAAGGAGGGGCCAGAAGGCCAGGCTGCATGGAGAAGGGGGCGTAGCTGCTGGGACATGCAAGGCAGATGAGCACAGGACAAATGAGCCTGGCTTGGGGGTGGGGGGTGGGGGCAGAGGGCAGTCAGGCCCAGGAGGAGCTGAGCAAAGGCCCAAAGTCAGGGGAGCTGGGACTTGGGGGAGTGAACGTGAGCCACAGTCAGGTGATGGGGACGTAGGGGTTGGCAAATGATGGACCTGGGTGAGGGTGAAGGGGAACCAAGGAAACTTTGAAGGTAGGACACTGAGAAAAGGAGGATGTACCATGGGGCCTCAGGAGGGGTGAATTGGGGGTCCTCTTGAAGGCCTTTGATTTAGGAGCTTGGAGCTTGGACTCAGCAGGCCACCCAGGAGGGATGGCTGGCAGGCAGTGAAACGTGTCCTGGAGGCTGGGACTGACGTGGGTGTGGGGTTGTTGAAGCCAGGGGAGATGAGCCACCAGGGTAGGACTGCAGCACAGGAGGGCAGAAACTAAGGAGGCTCCTCCCATGGCAGAGAGAGCAGGGGGACTGAGCTGCTGAGGAGGTCCTGGAGGTGGCCTGTGAGTCCACATGGGGCGTGCTGGAGGGAAGGTGTGGGGGCTTCCTGTATGTGGGGTGGCGAACAAGATATATAACCAGGGTGGTGTAAAAGAGCAGGAATTTTATTTCCATGTTTCCAGAGGCTAGAAGTCCAAAATCAAGGGACCAGCAGGACCATGCTTCCCTCAAGGACTCTAGGAAGAATCTTGCCTTGCCTCTTCTAGGTCTGGAGGCTCTCAGCAAGCCTTCCCTTCCTCGGCCTGTGGCAGCACAACTGGTATCTGCCTCTGTGTTCACTGGGCACCTCCCCACGTATCTGGCTGTGTCCCTGCTCCTTTTTGTAAGGACACCAGTCCTTGGATCAGAAGGCTCACTCTGATCCAGTATGATGTCATCTTAACTAACTGTATCTGCAGAGACACTATTTCCAAATTGGGTCACATCTGAAGTTCTGGTAGATGTGAATTTTGGGGGGATACTATTCATCCCATTATAGATGGGGTGGCCTGTGGTGTCAGGAGCATGAGGACCGAGACCAGGCCTTGCTTGTGGGTAGGCTGCCAAGAGGGCCCTTTGAAGGGTCTTTCCCCAGAGCAGCCCAGGAGGGGGTAAGACGTTTGCAGTAAGGGCATGGGCTGCATTTTTAGGGCATTTGGAGTAAAAGGAAGGAGGGGCCTGGTGACTGGAGACAGCGAAGTCAACGAGGTTTTTTTTCTTAGCCCAAGGGAGACCTGAGTGAGCCTCTTAGAAGAGAAGGAAGGACCAGCAGTAAAGGAGAGAGAGAAAATGCAGACAAGGAAGGCGAGGAGTCAACAGTGTAAGTCTCCCAGGAGTCACCTTCAGCTGGAGAAAGAGCACCTTCCTTCCCCAGAAAGCTTTACACAGAGGGAAGAGAGGGTGCAGAGCCTCCGTCCAGAAAAACCTCAGGAACCTTGCTTATCCTCTGGCAGGGCTTCTAAAGAAGTTGTGAGAAAAGATGCAGGCTGGGGAGGGCTTCCACGCAATTCAACAGCAAGATTTATAGCAGCCCCACGAAGTATGGCCTGGAGACAGCCTGAGAGGCCAAGCTCAGGTCAGACGTCAGAGGCCGATGTTAGAGCAGCACACAAAGGTCTGACAGGGCCTTCCTTCCGTGCCTAGAGTGGCCTTACCTGGCTGATTCTGACCCCAGCTTTGTTTTGCCCTTGGGCCCCTGGCTACCCCATCACACCAAGGTGGATCTGGGCTCCCGTTTCTGTCACCTGTTTGACCCCTGGAACAGGCAATGCCCCTCCCTCCGTGCCCAGCCAGCCCTCCCAGCTCACCCAGGCCCCTGACCATGAACCCCTTAGCTTTCCTGGGCTGGTGCCCCAAACAAGGGGCCCTGGAACCCGTAGGCAGGATGCTTGATGCACCCCTTGTGGGGACACTGGCCATCTGCTCACTTCTTGGCTGATGCCGAGGCGGGGGCGCCTCCCCTGCAGCCTCCCAGACACAGAGCTCGGCTCTCGGCAGTCCGAAGGCAGCAAGTTTGCAACGGCAAGCTATTCTTGGCTCCAGCCTCCTTGCTGCTGCTAATTTCATGCCCCTGTGATCCAGGTAACGCTTTGCTGCCTTGAGCTGCCACCCCCAGTCTTGAATCGCTTTTTCTCGCCCCGCAGGAGCCCAGCTGCCTCTGCTGCCATGCTCTTGAGGTGGGGGCTTCACAAAGCTGCCTCTCAGAAGCCTCTGGGCGGCCGGCCCCAGCTATTCGGCTGCAGCTCGTGACTAATTTGCTGCACTTATTTCAAAGTGCCCAAATGGCATTGGGGGAGAGGAAGCTTACCCAGGGCCTGCCAAAGATAAATGGGCTCATTTTGGGGCCTCCCTGCCTGAAGAAACCTCTTTACCTGGACTCTGAGCCCTGAATTAAATTCTTCCAGAAGAGATGCTAAGTACGGAGCCTCTCAGCGTGGTGGAGGAGAGGAAATGTTCTCTGTTGTAAAATAGTCCTCACATCTGGCCAGCTGGCTCTGGTGGGTTTTTAGATTGTGTTTGAAGAGCATCTCTCCCCCTTCCTGGTATTCACAAGCTGGGCCACTATCACAGATGGAAATGGGTTTCCTCATCTCCATTGCAAGTGGATCAATGCCCCATGCCCTGGACAGAAGGCTCCTCCACACCGACCTGCCACCTGGGGGCCGCTGGCACGTGGCACCCCTGGGCTGGGCTATGTCCACAGTCTGGGTTTTGATCCCCGCCCCCACCCATCCTGGGGCATTCTGCTGCAGTTTGCATGGTCAGGAGAGAAGCTGGAAGCCTGCCCGGTGCTTCCCAACTATAATGTTCTCCTTCACATGGTCTGTGCTTATCAGCAGACCGTGTCCATCCATTTTGGTGGCTGACAGTAGTGAGGGCTTTTCTCTTAATCTTTTTTTTTTTCCCCTTTTTAACGCTACTCAGGTCCACAGGCCTGAGGAAATCCCCAGGGGAATTGACAGTGGGGTTTAAAGGAAAAAGAGAGTTAATAGGCAGAGGGGAGAAATCAAGCCCCATCATTTGCTAACTTAGGCAGATCACCTGCCCTCGAGGGCTGGGGCAGAGAGAAGACACCACCCTGATGAACCGCTGATCCCAAAGGCTGGTCCCTGCTCACTACTGGGAAGGCATGTGGACTGCCAGTCCCAGCCTGTGGTGCAGCCAGGGGCATGCTGCAAGCCCGGTGGCGGTGTTTGGGTTTGTGCGACTATAAGGCAGGCAGCCTCAGCTACAGTATCTCTTAGGTTTGTGAAGTGACAATAATTGCCTCCCACCCCACCCCTGCCCTGCATCAGAAAATCCTGCCACCAGCATTCTCCAGATGTGCACCTCTGTGCATTTCATCCTTCCCTGTTAGTCTCAAGCTTCTAATCTATAAAATGGGAGCAGTCCCAGCTCTGCCTTGCTCTTATAGGCTATGTAAGAGCCAATGGACTGGGGTCTGTGCAGGCCACATATAGGCAGTTTTGTTCAAATGTCGATTACCTGGTACTCTGCACAGCTTCCATGTCCATACTTGGTTACCTGACAGGTGCCAAAGGTGACCTTTAATGTTACTGTGCCAGAGGCCCAGCCCTAGGTAACTGTAGAGTGCAGGGAAAATAGTGGAGGGCAGGGGGTGATTAGATTAGGCATCAAGGAGTGGAAGTTTTCCTTTTTGTTCCTCGGAGCCAGGCCTTGCCTCACACTGAGTTGGAGAATTCAGAATGGTGACTGATGGGGGTGTCTCTCTCTCTCTCTCTCTTCTTCTCTCTCTCTCTCTCTCTCTCTCTCTCTCTCTCTCTCTCTCTCTCTCTCTCTCTGTCTCTTTCTCTGTCTCTCTCTCTCTCTCGCACCTCAGGGCGTGGAGTGGTGGTGCTGTGGCTGTGTTCCTGCCTCTCTGCTGTGTGTTTGGATTGAATGGACCAGACGGTGCCCATTCTGTCTCAGCTCAGCAGATTTCTGTGGATGCTGAGGAAAACCTCAGGGGCTCTGTTCTGAAAAATGAACTCAGGTTAGAGTCCTAAGTGGCAAAAAAGCGTCCCTCCCTGCCTTGAGCGAGGTGTCCCCACCTCTTGGAATGCTGTTTCTCCCTCCACCGGCACCCCTACCTCTGTCTGGCAAACTTACCCCATCTTTCAGGCTGTAGTGCAAGATGGCCTCCTATGGGAACCCCCTCCCTGAACACCTTCCTTCTCTCCTTCCCCCATCCCTTGTATTCATTGTTCTATAGCTATAAGATTGCACCAAACTGCACACTCCCGGAGGGCATCAGGCTCCCTATCTTTTCTGTTTTATACTCCAAACCACCAGCCCAGCGTTGGGCACACAGGGGCTTGCCGCATCTTCAGTGAAACAGGAGGAGATACTGATCTGGTTGGGCAGTGGTCACCCAGCCCGGCTGAGGGCTGCAGGATTACCAACCACTGAGCCTTCTACCTGCTGGGGCAGACAAACCTGCCTGGTGAGGCCTCGTCATCTCATCAAGTCCTGCCCTGCTGCATCCTCCCATCTTCCAGCCCTGCCTTCTTTCTGAATCACACACAGTCCCCACATGCAGTTATGTCAGGCCCAAACTGACCCCTAGGACTACAGTTTCTCTCTGAGCTGTGTAGACAGGGCTGCCATGTTGCCCAGCCCTGAGGGGCTCCATTCATATCGCCATCCGCTGGACTGGTGCCCCCTGGCTTTGTGCAGAGCACAGCCTTCACTGTCATCTGAGGAGGCCCAGTGCCACCACCCTGGGGATCTTCTCATTCCTCCACTCCTCCATCCCGGAGTCCTTGGAGTCCTTGGGTTCACCTCTGGAGCTAGTGGCCATGTTCATCCACCATGTTGCAGGGTGCCCGGTGGGATGAATAACAACAGAGCCTTTTGAGGGAGCTCTCAGGAGTCAGGCCCAGGAGGTGAACTGTGGCATGAATGATCCCCAAACATTCCATTATGTATAATCGCCCTGTGGGATGGAGATTCCAGATTGCTTTGGAGGGGACAGAACTGTTACCATTCTAATTGCAGTATGTTTGAACCAGTATTCAGATGGCTTTACATTTCCTTGAGTGAAATGGGAGAAGTTAGCCCCCACAAGCTTTGGAAGCAAATGAGATGAACCAAGGAAGGGGATGCCAGCTGCAAGTCTGCAAGGTGCATGATGGAGAATTGAACGTCGTGCCCTCCCTGTTGGATGTTTCTTAGAAAGGAGCCTGAGGCAGCACCTTATGTATGATACTCTGTGGGGGAGTGCAGCCCTAGGGAAGTAAGAGTGAGGGAAAGGGAAATGAGGCAGGGATGGAAGAGCAGATGCAGGCTGTGGTATCGCCGCACTGGCCACAGCTTTGCAACAAAACACAACTGCTTGCTCAGGCACATGGGATGTCTCCCGAGAAGCCACGTGGAGCCACCTCATTTCAGAACAGATGATTGGGAGAGGAAGGCACTAAGCAATGTGTCTTTAGTCTCCTTCCCATCTCCCACCTCTCTTTGGTCAACGCCTACCTCGTGGGTGGGGCTTTGCCTCCCCCATCCTTCAGAGAGTGCTACCCGGCCCCTCCCACAGCCACCCCGGAGCAAGAGTCTCTGTAGGGGCAGCCCAGGCATTCAGGTCCCCTGCTGGTGGCAGCTATGACAATGGCTTTATGACCACATGGGACCAAGTAGCAAGGCAAATGGCCTGGGGCAGGCAAGCTGAGCAGATCTGGGGTGGTATGTACACTAAGTCCAGTTTCTTGAAATCAGTGCATGCTGCTTACAAAAATGATCCTAATTTCAGCAAAGGATTTGGAGAGGAAAGGCTCAGGGGGCTGATGCGGTCAGCAAGCATAATCTTCGTTCTCTGCGTGGACAGGCACAGTGGTCTTCATGTCTGTCAGGAAGTTGAATGAACTTATGGTCAGCTGTCCCAACTTTCATCAACAAACTGAAATGAAATTACAATAAGAAGGCTGCAATATTCAGAAAAACCCTGGTTAATAGGAACTCAACTATCCCAAAACCCTCACTAACTAGGAATCTATTGCTGCATAACGAAATACAACACACTTACTGGCTTAAAGCAACACACATGTATTATCTCAGTGTCTGTAGACCGGGAGTCCGGGCACAGCTTAACTGGGCCCTCGGCTCAGGGTCTCGGTGGCTGCAGTAAAGGGTTAGGCAGGGCTGCAGTCTCACTGGAGAAGGATCACTTCCAGGCATACTTGGTTTGTTGGCAGAATTCTGTTCCTTGCAGTTGTAGGACTAAGGGCTTCAGTTTCTTGCTGGATGTTGACCAGAAACCAGTCTCAGCAACTAGGGGTCACCTGCAGTCTCTGCCAGGTGGGGTTCCTCAGCCTGGCCACCTGC